TCATACCCGACGGCCGGCAGCCAATTTGTGAGTAGAGGTATTGCTTCATTATACATGGTAAACTTGGTGGTAATTACAATCATTATCCAATATTTATATAACTATAAAATTTCTGGCCACTGTCCACTAAAGAAAAGATTCATAACTAACATGTTATTATTATTAAGTCTATAATGCTTAGAAAATTAAGATTGTGTTCAATTTCGATTTTCATTCATTTTAATCTTTATTTGTTAAACAATTATAATAGAATAAAGATAAAATATAATTGAAATAAAATTTTATACAAAATTAAATTAGCAAAAAAAAAAAAAAATATGAGAATTTTGAATTTTATTTTACTTTATTATTAATAATTTTTAATGTCATAAAATGAAAATATGTAATCTCAAGTACCAAAAGATAAAAATAATTTATATGTGCACTAATATAGTATTTCTGAATAAACTTCAAAATATTGATATTTAACAACTGAAATTAAATATATAATATTCTTACAAACTAATGGTTATATCAAAACCAAATTCCTTTAAATCATTTGAAAATTCAAATTTTATATTTTAACTTCATCTTTATTTATAGATTAAAAAAATATTTCAATATAATATAAAAAATTGTACTTATAAAAAAACCAAAAAAGTATAAATTATTCTTAGTCTTAAAAAAAATAGTATAAAATGGACGGATTTAGTTACTTTAAAAAATAATCTAACTAAATTATAATATAATACAGTTCTGCTAAGAAATAGTATATCAACAAACTAATAAATTAAAGATATATAATAAAAGACCAAACATACTTGGAACGAATATAAAAAATAAATGTTTGGTGTTTTAAATTATACCTTTGAACATAAATAATAGGTAGTTAATCTTAATAAATGGTTTATCATCATAAACTTATTTGGTAAAAGTGCAATAATTATAAATTATTAACCAAAAATTTGAAATCATACTAACTAATTTTCTAATTAACAAAATCAAATATAAATTATATTAAATGTATACTATCTTCACAATATTATTGAATACAAATATATTTCAAAAATAATACATATCATCATCAAAAATATTTTAAATAATAAAACCAAAAACCTAAATAAATGTTTGATTTTTTTAGTACAAATAATGAACATGAATCTTTAAAATAAAATGAATGATATTACAAAAATAATCACTGGTCAATATTACGAACAAAAAAAAATATACTTATCAGCACAATAAGCAAATTGGAAGATGTAGACATGTTAGCTGAATTACACCAATGATCAAAATAACAAAAGCACCATGTAGTTGAATCATAATAATTCCTGTAAATATTTAAAATAATTAAAATGCAATATTTCATATTTATTTTTAATACAAACCGTTTAACATCCAATTCAGGAATTGAATTATTCACATAGTGACCTAGTTTAACATCCAGGGAACTTTTTCTGCAGCCCTCATACTTATCGGCAGGAATATCTGTTCGAATACCTTTTAATGAACTTAAACAATCACGAGTAATACGTTCTTCAGCTAAAAAAAAAAATATAAAACTAGTTGAAATTTTATCATACTTTTAAATTGAAAAAATACTGTAAAATGTCAATCGTATACAACAAATTTATTAGGTAACAAATAAACAGCACAGAGATTTAGATAAGATAATAGTTCAGCATAGTAGTACAATGAAGATTAAATATACATAGCACTATTGACATCAAAAACAAATATAAGACTGCAATAATGATAATAAATATATTTATAAAATAATAGTTTGATACTCAACATTTTTTAAAATACACAGGTTAAAAAAAAAAATAATAAATAGACATAATATGCATATGAAAATTAATGATGTATGCAAAATATGCATTTAAAATTTTCTATTTTAAACTTGTCATCATATAATTTGGATTTCAAGTTGAGTCCACTAAAAATCAAGAACATATTGAACAAAATAACATACCTAGAACTTCCAGGTTTTACTTACAACATAATACACAAAAGTTACCATATTTTATTAAACAACTAAAGACACATGATTATTTATGGTAATAAATTCGACCTTTTAAAAATCTGTATATCCTAATTATATTATTATTTCATTATTTTTATAAGTTGACAATGTAAAACACTTGTTTTAATTAACCATGAATATTAAATTACAACAAGTACATTTTACCACCGTCTATTTTACAAAGTTCTCATACAAATTGATGTCACGCTACTTTTTTTTAAGTCAGCAAATTGAGTATGAAAAACGTCTGACAACCACAAAAACTACATCACACCTTGATACATATGAGAATTTTGCAAAAAATACTATTTGAGTGTTTAATTTTTATATTTATAATAATACTCTAAACATAATTTTAATAAACCAAGATTTTTAAGATAGAAAAGAAATTTTAAAATAATATTCACTGGACAGTAAATACACTTATACTTATACTGCTAAACTAAACTCATTCATTTCAGAAACATCTTGTTTAATATATAAATAGTTTTTATCTTAAGTAGATTCAATACCAACCATTTGTGTCTTTGTCTAATACATGTAGAACAAAAAATGCAGATATATTCTGCCAATAGTACCAGTTGATCTAGTAAAGTGATAAGAAATTTGAAAATAGATTTTAATTTGTTGTTAAATCTACATGAGAACGACTTTTTCATATTTTTCTTTTTTTCTTGTAACTAGAATTTTCTTTAATAATTAAAATATGACAATATTTTTAATTTTATTTTTTTAAGATATCTTTTTTGGTATTTTAAGTAATACAATAACAAATGTGAATAAATCGACAAAGTCGACTGAAAAATAGATTCAAATCAGTTATCAAATTTATTATCATTTGCTAAAAAACACTTCTAAATTTATATATTCTGCATGGATTAGACAAAGACAAAAACAGTCAACATGGAATTCCCTCAATAAAAATTAAAATAATAACAAAATTATACTCAAGTATTACCTCATCCATTTTTAGCTAAATTATCATAATATTTACAATTTTAGTAAAATTCCTGAATATAATGCGACTACATTTTTATTAATAGAATAAAACAATTATTTAAAAATACATGATGTTACCTTAATAGTATTTTTGATAAAATTGAATAATAAATCAGTATACTAAACTTTAACCGGTATAATACACTTAAATAATATGTTAAGACTTCAAAAATGTTATACTCAATAATTTTTGTAAAATAAAATTTTACTCTAAAATTACTAACTCAAGCAAAAGAAAATGTCAACATCTTCTTAATAGAGCTTATTTTTACTATAATAACTTACATTTAAAAATAAAATTCTAAAATCTTAGTATTTATAAACAAACATTAATTTAATATTTATACTTAATAATTTATATTGAAATAAATAAAGTAAAAATCAATGATATTAATCAAATATTAAAAAACTTTTATTATTTCTAACATAAACTATAAATAATTACCCCCAACTTTCTCAATGACTTTAACACATATATCATCTTCTTCAGGACAAGAAACTGTTTTATGCCATAACCACTTAAACGGTGTGCCACAGCCAGGATGTGTTGAAACGCATTGGTAGCATAATAAATATGATTGAGCTATAAAATATTAATAAATAAACAAATTTAGTTTTCTATTTCAACAATTACCGAATTTTAATATTAGTGTAATACAATATATTAGCCAAAATATTTCATAAAAAGATAGTACAACAGAAAATACCATAGGGCCACTCCCTGCACTGTAATACTCACCGTGTACGAATATTGTTGAAAATATAATTAATGAAAGAAAAGCTTTTGACCTTGTCATTATGAAAATAATATATAAAATTATATGTTCTACTGTAAAACTTTTAAAAATATTAACCGTTCAAGTATGAGTAAATAATTTTGAATTAATTTCATTCAATACTTCAAATACTTCAAAATCAACAGTTCAACTGACTGTCGACTGATAATATGGAATTCTGGTAGACAGTCACAACTCACAGTGGTACTGGTTGTAGTCAATAGCCAATGATTCATAATTAATAATTACTACTATATCAGAAACCAAAACAAAACTGACAACAACATCACAATGAAAAACATTGTTAGCGCGATAACTTACAGTATGACCATTTGTGCAACAAGTAGCAGCCGACAGTCTTTATCAAGCCCATGGCTAAATAATATTTAGCCATGATCAAGCCCATATTATCATAGATAATATTATGCATATTATAAGACGCCGTCTTCTAAGACCATGGTTGTAGGTGTGTTAGCTGCAAGAATTATCTATTACCCCAGAAATGAGAATCCTTCCATTCTTTAAAAAATCAAAGTAATGTCGCATTCATAATGGAATGTCATATTTAAAAGTATCACTAATACAGAAATGCGGAACTATTTCTCAAATTTTAATTTCAAACACACGTTCATTGTATCAAAAACTAATGCATACATAGATCATTATATATGAAATATAATTTTAAGGAATAAAATAAAAAACAAACTCACTATTTACAATACATAATATTTAATAATGAGCTCTGAACAAATAAGGCCATTCCCCCAAGCTCGTTTATTAAAAAATTCTATTGATAATAAAATTGGAAAAAATTCATATTTTATCATTCACTATTGTCTATTACAGATACTTAGAAATGTGTATTTCAAACTTCAAAGTATATACCTACTAGCACCGGTGAAACTCGCTGTAAGTGAATACCCTAGGTCGGGACCAAATATATAGATTTTTAATGAATAATTATACTTTTAATTCAAAATGAATATAAATTTTACATATACTAATTAATAAGAATATATTCTACATACAATCACATATATAACAACTTTTGGTTTTTTATAGTTTTATAATAATATAATACAATTATATTATATAATACTTTATTTAACACAAGAATAAATTTATTATTGTAAATATGCAAACATTATATATATATACACATATTATATACAAAAACATACATTAAACATTTACATATACAATACATATTTAATGTTTTAATAGTATTTATTAACTAGATGTTGGGCTAACTTTTAAAATAATTGGTAGACGACGTCTTTTTTTTAAAAAAGGCTCCAACATTTCACCAGGTACAGAAAATATATCTTTTTTTAGACCATTATTATTGGACATCTCATAGATTTCTGAATATGGAAGAGTTGATCTCTCATACATTAACTTTTGTGACATATCATTGAATTGTAGATGCTGAGTTAACAACACAGAAAATTTAAATTGTTTTGCTTTAACTGCTGGTCCAATAAAATTTACTTGACTGAAAATAATAACAAATATTAAATAATTAATCATTAACTATTTAAATAATATAATTTTATGCTCACGCATTTTAAAAAAGTATATAATGTTATTTTAAATTATTTTAAAGTAACTATTAAAGTTATTAAACAAAATTCTTACATTTTTACTCGTCTAGGTGGTATAGATGAATGAGCAATCACTGCAAAATATTCACTGTGAGATAATAAAAACCACTTGTATGTTTTATGATTAAAATGGGGCAACATAATATCAAAAGTCTATAAAAAAATAATTTAACTTGAGTAAAACATATAATTCTAAAAGTTTACATTTAAAAAAGAATAATTTTTAATTTTTTTTTATAAATTGCACCTGTTCTGATCCAGTTAGAATATCGCTACTATGATTACTAATCATATGTGAGTGCAATTCAGGATAGTATCCTTTCCAAGCACAATTAGTAAAAAAACATTGGTAATGTCTATAACAACATTCTTGTTCATGAACTTCTTTTTGACCAACAAACATTTGCTGCTTGCATCCAGTTAAAGCATTTCTACAGGGAAACTTTACCAAATAGCCAACCTTATAACAAGAAAAACTCAATTATTAAGAATTTCTTTAAAATAAATAAAATATACAAAGTAATTTACTTTTTCCATGTATAGATTGCGTTTTGAGTTAAAAGGATTTCTACATGTTGGACAATTTGCGCACATAAGTACACATTTATTACAAATTAAATGTCCAAGTAAGCATTGAAAAATGGGAGGGACAATATGTTCAAAACATACAGGACACTCAAATAAACGTATTAACTGATCACTAAGGTCTTCATATGTTTCTGGATGTTCTTCAACACGTACTGATGCTATTTCTTCAGTTGTTCTGGATCTATACAATTTAAAAAAAATTGATTATGATAATAATTAAATAAAATACTTTAATTTATAAATTTACTACAATTAAAAAAAAAAAATTTTCAAAAATTTAAATTAATATTTTAATAAATTATACAATTTAATATAGATAGTAAGTATATAAATACATAGACGTGTATATAAGGGGTACCAGTTGTACATGAGGGTAACCTCTGATATTTTATAATTGGGGCCCTAAAATTGAAATCCCAGAGCAATGAACCTGTATTAAAATTAATGTTATTAAAATAAAATGTATTTTTTTTAAAAATATTTTAAATTTACAAGGAAAAACTTATTATTATATAACAGTTAGATGTTATACAAAAATACAAATCATACATAAAAATTGAAACTATCTTAAAAATTAATATTAAATACAAGGAAAAAAAACAAGAAAAGAGCCTAAAATTATTGTAGGTAAGCCTTGAAATTTAGGTCTGAGCACACCTATGAATAATGTAATGTTTTAATATTGAACATCTTACATCTATAATACTACTTTAGTTCTTGTTTATCCATAGTAGAAAATTTCATAGAATTTGTTGTAATTATTATTATTATTATTATTTTGTAAGTATTAAATTTAAAATTATATTTAAAACTTACTGATTATTATTTTGCATTGCACATGTTAATGGAGGGTGAGGATTTCTCGAGATTGTTTCACTATTATCATCATTAATAGAATCAACTATTTCATCAATTCTAACTGAGTTATTAACTGTCTCATTTTCTGGAGTATTTAATTCTACATCAATTGTTCTACTAACTGAACCATTGTTAAGTATATCAGATCGTATAAAATATCTGAACTGAGATGGGCCAGGAATAGTATTGTGATCAGTAGGTGGTAATATAGAGTCACTGAAAAAATGTAAAAAAAAAATTACCTTTAAAACCAAAAAAAAAAAAATTAAAATATATAATAACTGTTGAGAATTGTTTACTGGAAATTATGTTAGGAGTAATATGTTTATAATTGTATGGATAAAACATATAAATTATGGTGATCAAACATTTAAATTTCAAAATTCCAAGATTACAGTAAGAATATACTGGACTGACTAAATAAAATAGTATAAGACACTGAGAAGAGTTAAAAATTATATAAAAAAATAAAATAAATTAATATTGATCAGTAATGAAGGATTAATCAAAGAAATTAAAAAAGAATTAACTGAAGATAAAGAATCTTGAATTAAAATAAAGGTTGTCAAACAAATTGTTAAACTAAGAACATGAACTATGAACATTTCTGGAAATAACTAATTAAAATGATTTATTAGAGTTCATAAGAAGTTTTTTTTTTTTTTAATAATTGAAAAATATATTAATGAATAATAGATAATATTTAGTTTCTTTAAAATATCTTAAAACACTTAGTGAATTATGATATAAAAATAATTATTTATTTAAATGCTCTAATTATTAGGAACTACTACAATATTTTTAAATACCAATTATAAAGAAATGGTAAATTGATTTTTTATATTTAGATTTTATCATGGTAATTAATGTTTTTTTATCGACGATTTCTTTGCTTACCTCTATATAATAATAACTCATATAAATCATAGTTATGGTTTTATTTATTTTAAATTTTTTAATTAAAATAATATTGAGAAACTTTTTGATAAGAGTATCTTATCCTAAAATGAATGAAATGTTTTTAGTGTTTCATTAGATTAAATTATTTTAACAAAAAAGAGATAATACTAATTTATATTAATTTATTATTATTATTATTAAATTATAGTTATTATAGTAGTGAACTTAGGATTTTACTCCAGAAAAATAATAACAGAATCTATTACAAAATAGTAGTTGTTATTTAATTTTTTTTACTCTATTTTATTGACCCTTAATTAATTTTGACTCTCTACTTAGTGTACTAAAAGGATAATAGGTTGAAATAATTTTTAAGACTAAAATTATATGATTAGGTCACTGTAGGTAGTGAATATAGCTTGCCGTCTGTGTGCTCTACTACAAATGTATTTAAAATAGCTGATTGATCAGCTAAGAAAATGTTAAATAGAACCATAAATTATATTGCTTCTTGAGAAACTATAGAAATAATCAAAGATTGTGAAGAAGTTGTAGCACTCACTTGTGTAGCGAATTTAACAATAATTATCTGGGAAAGGTAATTTATTTTTAGTTTTAATAGTAGGACAGTATGTCAGACATAATCAAAGCTTGAGTGACATCTAAGAAAACTATGTGGCAGTACATTTGTTTTTCCTAAGACAAAAGATATCATCAGTTAATTTGTGTATTTGATTGACAATTTAATGGGAGTTACAGAATTCAAATTGGGTGTCAGGTAACGCATGAGTTTTTGTTGATTATAGCATTAGACTTTGAAAAGTTTTTCATTCAATTTTAATAAAAATTATAATATGCTGATAAATAAATATAAGGAAGAATTTTAAGCTGATTAATTAAATTTAGAAAATAGGATAATTAAAAGTTTTCATTGTAAGGGGAAATAAGAAACCTAAGTATTGAGTTTATAGCTATTTTAGAAAGTGGAAAAAATTTAATTGAAGTCAGAGTAGTTACAAAGTTGAAATGAGCAAATGTAGAGATATACAATTTGGAGTAAATGCTTTAAATGACATGAATAAAATATGAATAAATGAAATAAAAAATTGTTAAGAAGTTTTGGATTTCTTTTACAAATTGCAGATTGTTTATACTTCATATCATAATAAGGTTGGAAGACAAAATCTAAGTGCATACAAATCAGTTAAATATTTTTAATTTCTAAATTACAAAAGTGTCATATTTTGTTTGAAACAGCTGTGAATAACTTTGCTTAAGAGCAAACCTATCAAAATTATTTCTTATTGGTTAAATACTTAATAGGTTAATTAATAATAAAATGTATAACATTAAAATAAAATCATAATATCATTACAGAACCTTTTTTTCTAACCTCTTTAAAAAATGTAGAAAAAATTATGTTTGTGTAAATGCAGAGATTTTTAAATATGATAGAATTTTTTTTTAATATTTTAGTTTTTCAAAAAAAAATTAAATTAAACGTTTTTTTGGATTACATTTGTCACTAAGAATTATTATTATTATTATAAGTAAGTTACTTACGGATTACTGAAAATATTATCGTCATTATCATCATTATTAGTTACCAATGGTAATGTTCTAGGAACATCCAGTAAATCATTGTTTACTCTTAAAGCTGGTATTTCTGGAGTATCTGGAGGAGACTCGGGCGATGGACTAATTGGTGTTGGTGACATAATAAATGGTACAACTCTATTTCTTGGAATTTCATAAGATACACTTAAAGTATCATCTCTATTTTCATCATCAGCATTTGTGTGATGGTTTTCCGTAACTGAAAAATGTTCATCGCTAGAATTGGCATCATTATGAGATGAAATACTTGAGATACTTTCTTGGCCTTGACTTTATTATACAAAAATAAATTAGTAAAATGTATAAATGAATCAATATTATCATGAAATATAAAAAAGAATAATGTTGTTAACTAACTAGTCTTCATCATATTGATTATCAGGCTCCGTAACATGTTCTAGTACTTCAGGAAGTTCTTGTTCTGGAGTTTGTGATCTTTCAAGAGCCTAAAATTAAAATAATACTAATATTTGAAAAAAAATATCTATACAGTAGGTAAGTTAAAGTGTTTCTTAATATGATAGTTATCAAAAAAACCTTATGATACTTTGTGAACATTAAATAAATATACATTTTAACACCAAATTGTGTGTCATCAAATAAAAATAAGCGTAAACAGTTAATTTATTATTAGTTAGTACTTTTTTTTCCTCTTATATAGATTTTTAAATATCTCACTTTCTAAAATTATTTAAAATATATATTAAATAAAATTATACAGTCTAAAATTCTGTCTCAATAATAATACTCTCCTTTTTTTCTTTACCCAAAATTGATATAATGTGAAAGTAATCTATAACAATTATAAGTCTAAATAGTCTAATCAATAACTGATTTACTCATTTAATTATTTGATAATTAATAATTAATTATAGTTTAATATTCAAACTACATGAAAGTAACATTGCATATAAAATATATGTGTATTTGAATATTATGTCTAGTAATCATATGCTATCAGTTCAAATCCAATAAATTAAAAAAATATATTTATTACACTTACATGATCATTATGACCTCGGCTTGATGATAAAAAACGAACACGCCTAAAGTATGTTCTGCTATTAGAGATACTTGTATTGTTATCTAAATTGTTCCTTATAAAATATGGATGTTCTGTAAATCTCCTTGAACGCCTTCCAGACCTAGAGTTTCTCAATTGTTGTGAAGCATGTGCCATTGTACCAAAATGGTCCACTGAACGTATTTGTTCAGTATTAGATCTCCAAAAATTAAGGTTTAAAGGTTCATCATCACTTTCATCATTGATTGATAGATCAGCTACTTCATTATCTAAAATTATAATTTTTTTTTTTCTAAATCTATAAAAACCTTAAAAACTGAGTATATATATTATTATTCTATATATTATTTTTATTATATAAATAATTCATTAAAAGTTAAAAATTATTAGACCAGAAACATACTAAAACTAATTAAATTAATTAAATTTTTTCAAATCACAAATAACTTGTTTAAATTTAGTTTTTAATTTTTATGATGTGCAAATCATATTATTAATAAGTTAAGCTAAAATTTTCATATAAATACAAAACTCAATATGAAAAAATATATTTACTAGATGTTAGAGAGCTTGTTTGAGTATTAGGTGGTGTATTATTCAATGGAATTTGTCCAGCTGCTGTTATTTGCTGAGTGTCTGGATCAGTAATGGTAAATCTAACAAAAGGTGATCGATTTCTTATAGCCTCTCCATTTGCTGTACCTAAGAGACAGTTGATAATTACAATGATGTTTCCTTATGATAAATCTTTGAAATTAAAAGTTTTTTTTAGTTTTTTCCTTATTAGTTTTGACAGTTCAATTTTTTTAAATTGTATAATATAGTAAAAGTGCTTATATATTTATAAGTTTCCTATTTACTAATTGCAGATTAAACATTAAAAAGGTGGCTAATTTGATTTTTGGAATACATTTTCAAGTGTAAGAATAATTTTAATTTTTGATTTACTATGACTAAACCAATTTCTATTTTATATGCTAATCTCATAAATGAAATAAACAATTTATTGATCTAATTTTTCTACATATTTTAAAAGCCAACATAATCAGTAGGGTCTAATTTTTTTAATTTTTTTTCCTTATAGCAACAAAACAAAAACAGTTTTAAAAATTAAAAATATTAATGATTTATTCAACATAAAGTTTATAAAAAACAGAAAAGTTATTTTTTTAATATTAGAGAATATTTAAAAGATTAAGAAACAGTTAAGTTTCATTAGTATATTTTAATATATTTTGAGAAAAATTACTTGAATACTTTAATTTTTAATTATAATTTTAAGACTTCCTTTTGAAATATGTTTTCATCATTTACCAATAAAATTAAATAATAATTATTCCTTATATTGTAATGAATTTGTATTTTATTTTTAAAATTATTATAATTTATAAGTTGTTCATAATTTGTAATTTTTTGAAAAATACTAAAAATTACTTTTATAATTAGAATATTGTTTTTTTTATATTAAGAATAAACTAAGTAAGAAAATTAATGGAAATACTTGTTTTATACGATCCCTTCATATGATGAAAAGGGAGTAATTGTAATTTGTAGATATATATATAATACATGCATAATTTACACTTGAGATTATTAAAATTATAAAGAATTATATATTATATTTTATACCATATTGTCTCAGATACAATCACATGATATTTAATAAGGGAAATTATACTCATTTATAATCACCTGGAAAAAAATGTATAAGGAAAAATTATAAATATTTATTTTAATAATATAAAATTTATTTTTTTCAATTTTTTTTTTTTCATAAATATTACAAAATCTATTTAAAATTTTACCTCTATAACATAACTTTTAGTTAAGAAAAATACAAATTAACACATGTTTTAATATTTATAGATTATTTTTACACAAAGAAACATATTTTTTTTATTTTTAAAATAATATAAAGAAAATAATAGAAAATATTAGTATTATATTTAATCATTTATTTTTTTGAACTTAAAAATTTTGATCTTAATTACTGTTTTCTGTTAGATAATTATAGATATTTACTAAACTATGAATATAAATTAGTTTAAAATTAGAATTGAATATATTAAAGAAATTAAAAAATGTAATGTTTTTATTTATCTTGATTTAATTAGTTACAATATATGATCAAATAATTTAAAAATAAATAACTTACTTCCTCCAATTCGTGACGAACTACTTGTATTTTCAAAATAGCTAGAATAATCTCTTGACCTATGTAACTGATCGTTTTGTTCCATATTATTTACATCTAAAATAATTAAAACAACAAATAAAAATAGTCAAATTAATTTAAATTAGAAATGAGATACCAACCTGTTAAAACTGGAGGCATTGATAAATGGTGACGGCTACTAAAAACTCGGCTAGGTCTTTCCATACGGTTAAGTTCTTCCAAATCAATCTGTAATAACTAATATGTTATTATTCATATGACCTATACAATTAGGTATGACCCTAATATTATATTAGAATTATATCTTAAAATCCATCAATATAAGAATAGTTCAAATATTTTTAATTTTAATAATATCAATATATACACTATTCAAGTGAACAAACTCAACAGCAACCAATTTTAGGCAAGTAGCAATTAGAAAACACCAGTTCATCATATCACTAATTTATTTACCTGCCATGTAATAATGCCACCCCTTTTGTACACAAGTTTATTTCTTAACTTGAATAGGAAATTATACTGATATAACTGAGTAACATTATCGTTCTTTTGGTAAATTTAAAAAAAATAAAGATGTACTTGAATTATAAATTATAATTCAAAAGGCTAACATAATTTGAATTTTCTCTAATAAATAGAGCCATCAATAATATAATTTTAGACTTATGGAGAGAAATTTTTAACGTAGCATAGAAAAACATACTAGTTCAACAAGAAAATAACAAACAGTTATCTAGTAACTTCTTTTTCACGTATAACAGTATAATATTAAAAGATAATACTCGATAATTCAAGTAATAGATTATTATTATAATTTTTTTAATATATGCCTTATTAAAACTAGACAATTTTTGACAAAATATTTTTCTATAATAAAGCCATGTTTATAAATAAGCAACTGAAAATCAAACTATAATCATTAATTAAACAAAATATTCTTCAATAATTCAATACATATATTTTTAATCAGCTTAAGTAATAAGGTTTTGGACAAACTAAAAAATTTAAAAAACTTAATTGTAAGAATTTAAATAAGAATAAACAAAAATGTATAAATGTATGTAAGTAGTATTATCAACTAAATAATTTACACTTAAATACTTGATAAAATAGGTACATAAATTATATTAATGATATGGGTTCAACTAAGTAACACTAACACATTAGGTATTTTAAAATCAAAATTCTAAAAAATATTTATATATATTTTTACCAAATTAGGTCGCCGATTCGCATAAAATTGTATGAACTCAGTTTCGTTTTCGTTGGCAGACATTTTCATACAACAAGACTTGAGGTTAAAATTACATCACACCGATGTTGAGTAAATGTTATTCCTATGTACTTGGTAATGTTGAAAAAATAGAAAATAAAACAAATTAACCTAGCAGAGACGTACTCTTATTTCAATGTCATTGGATCATTATTACACGAAATTTAAAAATTCGAAATCGTTATTGTTTATAATATTCTTATATCATTTGCATTCACTTAAGTCACTTGGTTTAGAATACTGAGTTCAAAGATTCCAATTTCAATAGTAATAAATAGTATCTTCTATGATTATATTGTGTCATGGAATCATACTATCATCAGTATTTACAATTTAGAATCATTATTTTATTTTTTCAACATCACAAGTCATAAACACATAACACATAGGTAATCTACTAGACCTAAAATTGTGTTAGCCGTGCTCACTGCATAAGCCAGAACTCCGAAGTCCGAAGTAAATTAATTATGAAATGAAATAAATGAATATTGCAGTATCAAACTATCAAATATCAATTATCAACTCGATGCGTGTCATAGTTAATATTGCAGCTCTGCGCGTCTGTAAGATGGCGGAAGCACCGAATAGACCACGGTCTTGTGCAACAAACCATATTTACCATTAATAAATTTGGCGGGCTTTACTAAAAAGATGTAAATGATTATATTTTTTTAAGTTAATATTACGATACATGCTTCATTGTAGATAAAATATAAATGTTATAATATTAAATTTTAATTGCTCACAATAACTTGTTAGGTTCATTTTATCACTCATTAACTGTATCGATTTTACAAAAACTGTAGTCCAATAATATTTTTATTAATATCATATAGACTATGTAGTTTTTGTATGACCATTGGTTTTTATATTAAGTGAAGTAATGAATACATTCACAACCTTTAAAAATAATGCAAAAAAATCTCAGATTTTTAATTTTGAGGGTGCTTTTTACTAAAAATTAGAATCTAGTATTCTAATTAGTAAATAAATATTAAGATGTCATAGCTAAAAAATTCAGAGTATTTTTCTTAATAATAAGGAAAAAACAGAAATTTTTACTTTAAACCAGTTTTTGAAAAAAATCAATTATTTTGAGATGTAACTCAAAAATTCAAATAAAATATTTAAAATTTCACTAATTATCACCATTTTTATCATAATTTTCTATACACGATAAGAATTTTAAAATTTGAATTCTTTTTATTAGGTCAAAAATCTAGGAAATTTTATACAATGTTTCTTATAAGTTATTATTATAACTATTTAAAAATATGCATATTTACAATTTTTTTATAGGCTTATAAAATTCAAACTTTGACGAAATTCGTTTATATCACAAAAATTTGAAAAATATTTTATGTTTAACAATTTATTATAATGTTGTTCATAGATATTCTATATAGAAACTTTTTTAATTGATATTCAAAGTTCAAAATTGGACGAAATTACATTATTAAAGATTAATAACGATGATAATTGTTTTGTTGTATTCTAAAAATAGTAAAAATAGTTGTGGGACTTAAAACTTTTACGTAAGTTTATTATGAATTTTACTATACGCAATGGCATTTTCAAAATATGTAAATACATTTTTAGATATTACATGTTTAGGTATATAATTATCAATTCACATGTTTTATAGTAAGGACTTAAAGTTAAAAAAAAAAAATCAACAATCATATATAATATAAACATATACTATTATAATTTATGATTAAATATTAATTATATAATAAATACAATATTTTTGGTAAAAATTAAATCAACTTTCTGTAGTACCTACTGTTTAATAATATGAATAGTAAAATAAATTACTTTAATACGAATATCCTTATATACCTAAATATACCTAAATAATATCCTAAATATACTTAGTGATAGGTATAAGCTAAAATACCAACTCCGCTCAGAATCTTTTTTTAAATATAATATATTATTGAATTCAAATTTAATACACCCATTAAACGACCTACTTGACATTCACTGTACAGCTAAGCGGTGAGTATCCAATTGTCCACATTTTTAATTGTCGTGGTTATCGAATCTCAAGTGTGAAGAAAAACCTACTTGTTATTTTTTTTCTATTTTATAAATGTTATACAATTTGATAAAGTGTATATTATTATTATTATTATTTTTAAATTACTTAAGACACTTAGGTTCCTTACAAAAATAGGCTTTTGAATAAAAATATTAATTTAACCTATATCCGCAGTGGCATAAACTAAAAAAATCATTGAAATTTGTATGCTCTTAAAATATTATTTTCAACTTTTTAACGATCTTTTTTTTATATAATATATTATATGTATAAACAGCCAACAGGTAAAAAATTATAATTTTCTTGCATGTGTTAAACCTTATCAATTAAATTATTATTTCTATCTATATTCTAACATTGTGTAACCATCATGAATAATTAGATTTTTATGTATGGTAACTACAGAATTTTGTGAAATAAATAATTCAAAATGTATTTATTAGTTAAAGAAATATATGGAAAGATATTAAATTTACTAGGAAGGATTTTACTTAGTAATTTGGATTATTGGTGTGTTGGAAATTATAAGTTGAGAATATGCCTCTGTACCACCAGAAATTGGGCCCAATTTACGCCACTGCCTATTTTAAAGTACATAATTTTTGATATTTGGGGAACTGTAGCTATGTCAGATGTCTTAACTATAAAGTAAGTATTATGTAACTAGTTGTTTAGATACTATTATTAAACAAAAACTTAAATGATAAATATTTAAAAGACAGTAGACACTGCTTAAAAGTTATTTACTATATTATTGTCAATTACAGGATTAAAACAAGAATACAATTATTTAATGAAACAAAAAAATAAAATTCAGCCCATTAAAAGTTCAATAAATAATATTATTATTGAGACAATATCTCCTAAGATCTGTAGTAAAAGTATTGAATTAAGTAATATTTATTTATAATCTTAATTCTTAGGATGCATTTTAGATATCAAATCTAACTGATTTGAATTCAAACAATACAATAAAACTAGAAGGAATTGATAATAACACAATGAGTAGTTCAAATTTTGATATGTGTAAGTTTAAATAATAAAATAGTACTATAGTTCATAGACTATAATATACATACATTTATCATAGGCACTTTATTTATGATGCTACGCATAATAATATAATAACGCATAAGTAAGATTTAAATAAAATATTAAAAATGGTTTCTAAAATGTATTGGTTATACTATTCGTGACTCGTATTAAACATAGTATTTATTTTTATAGAAAATCAAATTTTTTTTTAAATTTAAACACGAATTTTGAAAACAATGACATTAATTAACAGTCTTTAATTTGCATGATAAATATCCAGTGACCAGTGTAAGGTATAATAAATGTATTATTATTAATAATAGAGTATTCATTATTAATTATACCTATACATTTTGATAATTTTTTATGACAGTAAAATCAATATTAAAAAAAAAAAAAAAATTATGAAAAATATTGAATTATAAATTTTCAAGGTTTTTTCTTATTAACGAAAGTTTTATTACAATATAGGAATAAAATGAAAAAACTAAAAAAAATTTTAATTTTTCGAATATCGCAAAACTAGTTGAATTATTATTAATAAATACCTAAATATCTTATATCATGATAAAAAATGCTAATATATATAAATAGTGACAATAAATGGAAATTTATAGAGCCAACATTTATTCATTTTTTAAATACCTACGGGAAGAAAACAAAATTGATTTTATTCAAAAAAATAGTTTTGTGTAGATATCCCTATTTTCCAGTAATTTTTTTTATTTCATACAATTATTTTGAAAAGTTTAGCTAATAATTATTAATATGGGCTTATATAAATTCCACTGATTGCGATTTTTTTAGACCGTTTTTCATGTAAATTCCACAGGTTTGTTTTTTTTTAAAAAAAAATGTAAATTCCACCAGTACATTTTTATTATTATTTAGATATTCGGGATTTACTTTTTTAAATTTGTGATAAATTAATTAGTAATATTTAGTATCACAGTATAAGTATGACATAAAGTTATTAAACACGCAAAAACAATAGTACCTAAGCAATAATAATAATAAGTTACAACAGGTAATAGGTACATATCTAATTTATGTACAGATTTCTTATTTATATTTTGTATATAGATATTATATTTAAAACTTAGATACTTGTATCATTTTTTTAAACAAATTAAAAAAAATAAATATGTTCTAATTAATAATGATCACTATAGTTAGTACCTAGGTAGTTATTTATTTTACCTACCATGGGTAGAGTATGTTTACTGGTAAAAATATGTATTGATGGAATTTACATATTTTAAATTAAACCCAAAAATCGGTGGAATTTACAATCGCTCGGCACATGCAAACGATTAAACGATATTTTATCGAAAACTCGATATAAATAACGATGGTAGTAGAAACTCGTCCGGTTAATTAATTCGGACAGTATAATATGTACTATATGTATATAGATTATGTGTTTTTGCATATTTAATCAATGTGTTTTTTGTATAAAAGTACGATTATATTTGTCTAGTAGGCTAAGAAACACATTATGCCCCAATTGTAATTTAAAACTTATCATCCCAAAGTTCATCCCATACTTTTTACATTGTCTTTCTAAATACGATCCACACTTCATCGATACGAAACTTGGTTATAGTAAGGAGTTTATACAGTCGAATTCGCTTATTACGATGCCCTATATAACGATATTCCGGGTAAAACGATTCCAAGCAATGTATTTGGTTGGTTTTATATTTTATGTGTAGTTACTTTTTATAATGCGGATATAATGAAGTTCAGTTATAACGATCATATTCTCTAGGTCCCTTGAAGATCGTTATAAGCGAATTTGACTGTATCGGTCATCCTGAACACTGACGAAAATTATATTTCATTTTCAAAATGAATTATGCCTGACTTAAGTATTCGATTCTTGGATTTTATTAGGTTTATGGCTTCGAGCCTTGCCACATTAGCCGGAAACCTTTTAACGACGCCAAGCGACTATTCAAAATTCCGCGAAACAGCTAATGTGTCCAAAACCAATGATATGCAAGATGCAACTCGTTATGCGTAAGGACGTGTTTCCGTATGAGTAGGTACATAGATAAATGGTTAAAACTCGAGGACTCCCTCGACCCTCCCCTCGAAACATGAGTTCTTCAGCTCCCTAATGGAGAAACATATCGACGATATCGATCACCTACATGCAATAATAGTTTAGAATCACTTATAATGTGCGACTGTAGGCAACTTAAGCAATCTTTATTTGAAAGTAGACGTTCTACTTCTAACAGATGTAATGCGAAGAACTTTCGTGACTTGTGTATGTCGACTCATGGCCTAGACCCGACGTATTATTTACACGGCACCGAGCTTTTCATTTGATGCTATATTACGGTATATGGATATTTCGCCGGAGTTGCTGACGGATTTTGAAATGATACTTTTCCTGAAGCATGGAACTAGAGGGGAGCTGGTTCAGGCAAATGGACGGTACTGCAAAGTTAACAGCCCTAAGGCACCTAGATACGATGCGAAAATCTGTCGGCATGTTTTGTGTATCAGTAGATGGTAATTATTTTAATTTTATACATAATTGATACATTTTTTTTTTTTATTCAGCCAATAATTTATATGAATGGGTGATGGCCCAGTATATCCAAGCGGTGTGAGGATGAAATTGACTATGTTTTAGAATTATTAGATGATATGACAGATACATCGGACGTCGGCCGCATCTACGAGGTTTAAGATTAATATTTCATACTCCAATTGCCCGATATGCACAATGAGCTCCCGTTTTTACCGCTAAATAGAATTCCACCGAGATCAAAAGTACGTAAAATGATGGTGACGTTAGAACGTAAAGAACGATACATAATTCATTATCGTAATCTAAAACAAGGTATTGCTAACAGATTGATTGTTGAAAAAATGTATAAATATTCTTTCTATAATAATAATAATATTCAAAGATGAGACGACAAATAGAATGATAACTGAGTTTATTGCGCTTCGTGCTAAATCGTACATGTATCGAGGGGGTTGAAACACTTAAAGCCAAGGGCATTTGAAACCACGTTGTACGGACCCACCTCAAGTTTGATGACCATAAGCACAGCCTCTTTGAGGACGAGAACGAAGACATCGATGGTATCTTTCACGGTGAGGGCTGAGACGATGATTTAAATTATGAGAATAATAAGCCGTGTCTTGCGCGTCGAAACGCCAAGGTTGTATCTATACCTTACATTGAAATGCCGCCTCCACTAGCACTATCATCAGTATTCAGTACTACTACCAGCACCACCACCGCCACCACTAATGTCGTCACCCATGTGGCCATGTCCATTATATTGACAAACACGAGCCAATATCGCCGACAAGACAGCAGTTAGTAGGTAGGTACTTGTAATGAAAAATTATCGATGGGCTCACCGCCCCCGGTCAATTTGATATACACCTCGTATAAACTAAATATGTCAATTAAGTCATTTAATCATGAACTAAAAACGATTAAAAGCATGAAAATGACTCTTAATCGTTTTTCTTATAAATTATAACAACATTAACAACAATACATATTATTTATTAATCGTTCCAAAAATAATTTAAAATTAAGTTTTAACAATATTTGAAGAAAAAAAAATTATTATGTTGTTAGCTATTACACAATTAATAATATAAATTTCACTTAAGAAAGTCTATAGACCGGGGGTGGCCAACATGAATAGGTTCGCGGACCTCATAGATAAATACAATGATAGGTACTAAGTACCAAAATGTTTATATAATTTGATAATTTTTTATAAGATAATACCTAAAAATTAAAATTCATAATAATATTAAGTAAATTTTGATTTTGTAAACAAGATGCGAATAGTATCTGACAATGACAAGAGTCACATGTGGGCATGTGGCATTGTGGCTTGCGAGCCACAAGTTGGCCACCTATGCTATAGACATAAGTGAGGTAATAATTTGTAAATATCATTATTGTAATACAAATAATGATTTTAACCACCAAATTTTCACTGATAAGATAGTTGCAAATTCTTAAAATAAAAATGCAATAAAATGTAGTAAAACTCAATAAAAATCCAATTATCTTTCCACAAGGTTGTAATAATATTGATTTTATAATAAACATAATATTTGTAAATCAAATAAAATTTTTTAATATCATCAAAAAATATTTTTTGAAAAAGTGCTGTATGAATTATAGTTAATAAAAGAAATAACAAAAATTTATAATTCAACACTAATAAAAAATAATAAGTTATTTAAATTTTTTTAAACTAAACAGTGGTTGTATTGCTCTCAAAAAATTGTCATGAAATTGTTGATTTGAAAACCGATTTACTGATCCCCTAGCAGCCTTTTGTAATGACAATTTTTGAGTATCTGACAACAACAGCGCCTTATGTATAGCATGTGCATATTCTACTTCATTCGAAGCTAAAAATCCATTTTGTCCAACGCCATCTTCTATAATTATATCCATTAAAGGTCCACCAGAACGATGTGCAATCATTATTAATCCTGCAGCCATACATTCTACAACTCCAATTCCAAAATGTTCATTCCACATCGCATGTAAGCCAATCAACCCTGAAAGATTAATAAAATATTAGTTTTTAAAACTTAAACTTTATTGTTAATTAATTTACCTTCAGATAGTTCATTTTTAAGTTCATCGTAACTGATATTTACTTTAAATCGTACGTTATTCTCCAATGACAAATGCTTACATAAATCCATCATATCAACAACTCTCATTTCATCTTCTTGATTTCTTGTTGAACCAATAAATACAAGCTCAATATTTTCCCATACATTTTCATTGACAATTTGTCTGAGATGATACATGGCTTTAAGTTGTAGTGGATGATCTTTTTCTGGTCTGAATTGTGCTAAACTTATAATTTTCACAGATTTGGTTTTATGTCTTTCTAACGGCAAACATTGTAAATCAGACGTATCACACGGAGGATATACTTTGTAAGTGCTTAAGGGTCGCTTCCAAAGTATATTGATATGATCCTCAGTCCATGAACTATTTACCATTATAGAATCAGCAAACCAGCCAACTAAACCATATAGTTTTGCAAATAATTGATAATATATAAGTTTAATATAAGATATTGTTCTACGTTTTCCTTTTTGTTGAATTACTTTATTTATCATATCTGAACTTATAGTTGGATAATGAACGTAACAACTGATTTTACAACCACAAATGAGACAAAACAATGGCAGTGTAAATGCATAACCCATCGTATCAATGAATACATCCGGCTGAAATAAACGCAATGCTTCAAATCCTAAGACAATAGATCCAAGACTTTGTCCTAAAAGAGTGAAATAAGGATAATTTTCGGCTTCTACCCATTTTCTTTTATGCAGATAAACAAATTCTAAATTATTTGGTAGAGTTATGTTAAATCTCTGTTTTGCTCGTTTAATTATTTCTACTGGAGATACCTCCAAGTCACCAGTGTAGATAACAATTTTTACTTTAGGATACACAGTATTAACAGCATTAACAGCACACCATAGTACACGTTCACCACCTCCACCAGCATTGCAATAAGGATGGAAAAACGCTATGCTAAATTGAGTTGGACATTTCCTCTTTTTGCTAGCGTAGTGCCATCGTAATCCAGCAATAGACACGATCAATACAATGAACGCCGCAATAAATGAAAATATAAAGTATAATAAAAGTTGGAAATACATATTTTAAAAAGTTAATAGGCAGTTAATTTTCTGTAAAATTCCACATGTTCCACTCAATAATACTTTTATAATTTAAAAAAATATTTGAACAAGATAAAAGTATTTAATCTTATACGTCATGATAATAATATGAAACTTAATAACTTAAAAAATTAAAATGATCATTAATTTCATTCATTGTTTACTTTTTGAAAATTATCAAAAAACAAATAATAAATTCAAATATGTTATCACAATATTAGGTAATGACGTGACAGCATATACATAATATTGTTCAGTGGTATAACTACAGATATATATATATATATTCTGTGGTAAAACAAGAGTATAATATCTATGATAAGAGATAACATAGTAATCTTCCAAGATCTAGATTAGCGTCTAGCACCGGTGGGGTAAGGGATGTCTTATATTCTCATGTGATTATATAAGTCGTAGGTTTGTTTGGCTCTACAGTGTAATAATGCTTATTGCTTAAGTTTAGGACTTGAATCTAGCACGTTTTTCTCACAGACTGAAAAATTATTTTTCCGGGAACAAAATTAAAAGTGAAAATATTTAACAATATAGAAATCCAAATAAATGGATGTACTTATTATTATATAAACAATTAACTAATATGCTATTCAATAAATTATTTTTTTTCATTTTTGATATTCAAAAACATATATACAAATATACAATTTTTATCGTAGGACAGAAAATCTTAACACCCCAGGGGGCGATCGCCCACCCGCCCATCAGCCCAGTCCGCCCTTGCTCTTAATTAGTTATTAGTTTTTCATAATACAAACTATCTTACTTTGTACCACAGAACAAAGAATTTAAAACAAATAAAAAATTGGTGATTTATTTTTTAGTTGTTAAGACTTAAAGAGTGAGGAACAATAATCTTAAAAAAAATATTTTATAATTAAAATAAATATGATTAGACATTATACATTTTATCCAACCAAATAACAATAATAAACATTAAATACTATTTATTCTGATATAATACATAAACACAGGAATTTTCACAGCCTTTTATCAAACATGACCTGAAAAAAATATTAAATTAATTTAATGTATATAATACTGCAACTTACATAAAAAATGGTTCTAATAGAAATTGTTAAAAATTATTATAAGCTATCTCCCCTGATTGGATAAATGTATATAGGTGAAAGTATAATTATTCTACTTCTTCAGTTTCAACTAAATGGAATCAGCCCAAATAGTTATAATTAGGGCTAAGATTTATATACCACAGTATGTTTTTTTTTTTTTTTTTTGCAATATTTGATAATTACTTTTGTTAGTAATGTCCAAGAACACCTCATGAGGTAAATTATGATGTTTTTATTTTGCATATTTTGAATAAAATGAAATTATTGCATGTTTCAACAATAAAAAAATATAAAAAATTCATATTTAATGGTAGGTATAAATATATTAAATTTTGTTACTAGACGTTTTTGTTGTGTGATAGTATGCATTGACACTATTCAAAAATACCTATTTAAGAGCTTATTAAGGTCTAACAAAAGATTGTTCAGTTTTGAAAATTTAAATAAACATTCAATTGTTTTGAGTTATATATTTGAATAGCATAAATAATTAAGAATAGTATTTTCTTAATTTTAAAACTTATCATTATTTATTTTTCTACTTTTTTTTTTAGTATAATTTTAGTTGCATATTTTTAATAAGCCAAATGCATATTTTACAATTTTTATTGCATATAAATCTTAGCCCTAGTTATAATATACTAATTTATGGGTTAGCCAATTAATCTAACTTTGTATCATGCCTTCATCAGGTTCTGTCTCTTTACTCATACCAGTTATATTCATATTGTGCAAATACAAAGATTAGTTGTCAACAATAATGTATTAATTGTAAAAATGTATTTTAATTAAGCTTAATGCTTACTTGTTATCAGATTTTAATACAATAGTTGGATACGAATCATGTTTATCTAATTTTGATAATTGATTTGCAATGAATGTTATGTGTCCACTGATACCTGGTGTTACTTCTCCTGAAGCTTAAGTTTTTAGAATGGCAAATATAGAAAGAAAAAACCAAAATAAATAATAATAATTTATAAAATATAACATTTTTATTACTCACAAAAAATACACAAGCCTTTGGTGTCTGATACCAAAACACCAAGTACATTTTGTTCAGATTGTCTGAAAAAAAAAACCAATAAATAATAATAAAAAAAAAAAACATTAAATATTTGAATATTTAAATTTAATTGTATCTGTTGATTAAAAAAAATATCTTAAATGCACTATGCACATAATATAATATCTTCTAAAATTTAATATAATTTATAAATAATATTAATAAAATGTCTGTTACTAATCTAAGTATTACATTTCAAATTACTTGAAAGTGTCATTAATTTAATCTGGGCTTGCTTACTGAAAATATTGTTTTTAAAAATTTTAATCTTACTATTTTTTAAATTATTTTTAGAACAATAAATTTAAGTAAAGCACTAATTTACTTAATTTTTTTTAGTATTTAAATGAAGGTATTTTGAGTTAGTCATTTTTCACCAAATCAACAAGATATAAGCCAATAGCAATGCTATTTAATGTTATTAGTTTTACAATTTAAAATAACATTAAAGATAATTTTTTAAAACTTATAGATAATACATCATATAACTTGAATTTAAGTATCTTACAATTTTGAAACTTCTTCTAATACGTGCTTCTCCATTTCCAGTTTTTTACAACTCTTGTGAATTAACGATGTGTAATTTATTTTTTTGGCTAACAAGTAATGTAAAAACTAAATACTAGAATACTAACTACTGAAACACTAAATAATAGTAAATCTCAAAAACCTTAACACAATTTCAACTCTCAAGATATATTATACTCAAAATTCGTATCAACATAGAAAGAAAGGTATTTACAATCCACAGTAAAGATAATAATTCTTAGAGTTATCAGTTAAATTAAAATTTATCAGCTATGATGATTCGTGGCCACGGTGCATAGACTATAATATTGTCATAGCCTGATGTACTTCGTTCGATTGCAGCGGTATTGCCTTATTAATATAAGTAAAAATATTATAATAAGGTTTAAATCTATTTTTAATATACAATCCCACTAATATTTAAGTTATTATTTTTCATTTTTAGTTGATTTTTCTATCTAGGCTGCTTGATGTTTTACCTTCAGATCTTTTCAGCTATAAGTTATCATTCAACAGTTTAATTCTAATGTAAGTCCTTTGGAGATAAGCACTTTAATTAAATCTGGCACATCACGTTTTAGTAATTTAGTTAATCTTTAACAATATTTGATTAAGGTATCAATTTTTCTTTGTGAAACTTTTAAAGTTTCAACACTTAGCCTTACCAATCGTAAACCCGTCAGTTAAACTTCACAAATGACAGATTTAACTAACTTAGCATAGCTATATGAATGATCTGGTTTTGTCTTTGGTATAACACCAAGTAGGGATATTTGTTTTGAATTCTGGGCAAGCCAACCACACAATAAATAAACCATCTTCTTCATTAGTTGTTGGAAGATTTTTTGTGTTGATGATGATTCAGATGATCAACTGCTACAGATAAATCATTTTCTTACGTTATTGAAAGGGATGTTAACATCTGCAGTTGCCATTACATTTGCTACCAAATATTCGTGCAAATTTGTATTTTCCTGTGGTGTTTCAATATTAAGTTTGTCCTGTACTCCCGGTTTGTACGAGCACAATTATTCTAATTCTGTACATGATTGCATTTAGGTAGGTGGTCATTAAGTCCTCGACTTCTAATTAAAGAAAACTTTCAAGACTATCTTGATTAGATGTCTGATGTGACTATATAGATATATTATATTATCTTTTCAAATCTTCAAAAAGTAGATTAGTAGATTTTATGAAATCAAAATTCGCGATATTTAAATGTTTGTAATATTTTAGCCTGCACATCTCGATTGAATATATTACCTTATGACATTTATCAATACATATTCTGGTCTTCTAAATTTAAGCCATAAAAGGCTTTTAGTGCACAAGTTTCAGATGGTGTATCTGATTCATTATATCCAAACCAGTGTAGCTTCAATAAAGTGACCAGTATTTTCCGATAATACCTGATTTAAACCACTGGTTTGATAATGGATCAAACTGTAGCCAACACTATGGGAAATAATTATTCGCGGCTAATCCGACATTTTGTCTCTACACCTTTACATTCAAATGATGTTGTCGGATAATCTTGACAAACTGAAATTTCTGTATTAGTTACTTAGTAACTCTTTTTAATAGTGTTCATTTATCTTACACCGTCTAGAAAAAGAATAAATCCGCTGTCTAAAAGCCAATTGAGATTAGTTGCAAGAAGATGTGGGGCATCTGCCAAATAAACATACTTTTTGTGTTAGGATGTAAGAAATATGTTTGTCAATAGTTATACGCAACTGTTTCCATAACTTCCAACATTACCACCACCACAATCAGATACAAGGCAACCACTTATATAGAATTTTCATATAAAATGAGATTAGTAACTTCAGACAGAATTTCAGTGTAGATTAATTGATCAAAATTCGACATGCCATATTTGGTTGTTTCCAATTCTAAGATGCCTCCACCATGATTGCACTGCATTTACTTGGGGCCCTATGACTTGATCGGTTTTATCATTACTCACTTAACTGATAATACATCTTCATTTATCAAAATTTGAATAATACAAATAATTCAATACTATTTAAATTGCGCTTGCTATTTTCATTGTATTTTTCTAATAGATCCAAATACCCTGCAATTGTCCACATCGGGCCCATTTAACTAAGGTTGATACATGTGGCATGGATAGTTCAATTTGTTTCTTAGATAATGTAACACCTTTTCAAGATATAACGTAATGTAAAGCTTTTGAAATATCTTCTATGCTCAAATCACTTTTCTTTTTATACATTGTAGTGGTAGTTTGACTGAACATATTTTTAAAGATTCATTTAGATATGAGTTTCTGAACTTGTTCCCAAATTTTGAAAAGTATTACATTTTGTTCAAAGTATTACTCTGATTTTCTGAAATCTATTGAATTAGAATAAATGTTTATACTGTTTCAATTTGTCATGATCGTTAAGCAATTGTTGGTACCTATGTTCGAGTGATTCCATTAAAGTAGGCAACTCTATCCCGTGTACTATCTTCATCTTCTTTTGCTATATCTTTATTCTCTTGAGTTGGTAACATTAAACTTGAACAATAGTTTGCATTTATCGCATATTTGCCATTCTTGTCTGAATGATAATATATTAGATTAAACATTTGGTAAATATTTCTCTTTAAATGTTGTGTTGGAATAGCTAAACAAAATTAAAATTAAGGTTAATAATTGGCAAAAAGTAAAATATTATAATAATAGTGATACCATTTGTTTTAATTTTCTTTTATTTTTGATGTGTCATTAGTTCTCAAATCCAACTTCAAAATGATTTTCAAAAATGTACACTACAAATTGTACTGTCTTATGATTCCACTTATCTTTCAAAGGCAGGCATTAATCAACAACATGGCATAGTTTTGATCTTTGATAATGTGATGAAGATATGTTAAATTTTTTTCCTGTAAACTATTTGAGCAAACGAGCAACAGCACGTAATCTAGTTCCTGGCATCTAATTAACAATATATTATCAGTAATTTATTAATTGTTAACATTTTATTTTAATAATTTATATAGGTATCAATTCAGGAACCTTATTTTAATGTACGCAAGTATAATAATTAACACATATTTAAAAACAGATTGATCCATAAATTATATAATAATATATCTTTACAGTTAATAGATATGTTAAGTAATTATAAATGTAGTAATAACTTCAAAGATAGATTAACTGTTATTATTTAAACTTCTACGGTACATTGTATTGTAACAACTAATATTCTAATATTGTACAATTACTTACTTTAACGTTCAATTAATTGTTTTATTCTTCTTTGCAATAAAGTCGACAAGTAGAGCAAACAATGTTAAAATAGTTGGTAAACACTAAACAATGATAGAGTTTTGGCGCATTACTGCATTAGCGGGCTAGCGGCTGGATTGGATATTCCGACGTCACGCTCTTTGCCACCCTTAACAACACATGCTTCGTACCTATATCTATTATCCGTGGG